AGCAGTTAATAAAAAAATCCAGAGGAAAGCTCCCAAAATGCTCTACAAACACTACTGGTAAATCTGCTGAATGAAAAAATTGAAAGCCTGCAAAGGGCTCCGTGTCAGCATGCTAGGGAAATGTGTGAGCGTGATGGATCTAGCCAAAGATTAACAGGAATTTTGCGAGCATGAGGAGGCTAATCAAAGATTAATAAAGGAACTGAGTGAGTGGGATGAGAATAAACAAAGATTATTAGGGGCATTCATGGATTCCACAAACAGAAAGCTGGAGGAATCCAGGGAGGCTACAAAGAAAATGCTGAATGAAGTCCAACAGAAGAAAAGGGAGTCCAATGAAACTATAACCAATCAACTAAGGGATTTGAGAATGAAAACAAAATTAAGGAGGTAAAGAAGTCTATATAAGATCTAAAAAACAAAGCTCCAACAAAGAATTTAAAGCCATCAAATCTCATTAAGTAGAAGGAAAGGAAATTAAAAAAACAAAGTAGAAGTATTAGCTTTCTACTTAGACCATGCAGAAGATCAAATCTCTGGGACTGAAGACAGCTTGGACATTACAGAGAAAGAACAGACAAGAATTCAAGGTAAATCCAAGAAATATGATCGAGCTATTCAACATATAGAAGACACCATCCAAAGGCCTAATTTAAGGATAATGGGTATAGATGAGGGCTTAGAAAGAGAAGTGAAAGGTCTAGGAAATTTATTTAACAGGATCCTAGCAGAGAACTTCCCAAACATGCAAAAAGGCCCATTCAGATACAAGAAGCCTTTAGAGCCCAAAATAGACCAGACCAGAACAGGATATCCCACCACCACATTGTAATCCACACAGGATCAATAGAGACCAAGGAAAGGATGTTTAAAGGTGTAGGGAGAAAAGATCAATCACTGATAAGGGGAAAGCAATCAGAATAACCTCAGATTTCTCAGCAGAGACAATTAAAGCAAGAAGAGCTGGGAATGATGTGTGCCAGGCCCTAAAGACAAACAACTATCAACCAAGAATACAGTACTCACTTAAACTCTCCTCCATAATGGAAGGACAATTAAAACCCTTCCACTGCAAAAAAAAGTTAAAACAATATAACTCTACCAGCCCTAAAAAGATACTTTAAGATATTCTTCACATAGAAAACCAACAAGAGCATGATAAAGGCCAAGAAACAGCCCCCAAACAGAGAATCCAAGAAACATGGGTATAACCCAGTTGGCAAAGCCCCCAAGAAACTGGATAACATGGCAGGAACTACTAAAAATCCCTCAGTCCTAATTCTAAATATTAATGGATTTAACTCTCCAATTAAGTGACATAGTCTAGTTGGATCAAAAAGCAAGACCTTCTATCTTCTATCTTCTGTCTTCAAGAGACCCACAAAACAAGCATATTCTGGGAGATTTAGTATGGTCTTGTTTGTGATTGTTTGGGTAAATGCCCAGAAGTAGGATTGCTGGGTCACAGGGGAACTGTATGTGCAGTCTTTTGCGGAACCTCCATACTGCTTTCCCACCAACAGTGCAGTAGGGTTCCATTTTGGCCACTTTCCCTCCAGTATCTGTTGTTATTAGATTTCTTGATTCTAGACATTCTAACTGGTGTGAGGTGGAATCTCATTGGTTTTGATTTTCATTTCTTTTATGGCCAGAGAGGTTGAGCATTTCTTCATGTGTCTATTGGCCATTCTTATGTCCTCTTCAGAGAAGTTTCTCTGTAAGTCTATAATCCTTTTGTTAATGGAACAGTTGTATCCTTGAGGATTTGTTGTTGGGAAATTTAGTTTTTTGAGTTCTAAGTATATTTTAGATATGAGGCCGTTGTCTGTTGTATGGCTAGTGAAGATCTTCCCCCAATCCATGGGCTTTCTATTGATTTGGGTATCTATGACCTTTGCCATGCAGAAGCTCTGCAGTTTCAGGCAATCCCAGTTGTCCAATCTGACTTTGATTTGTTGTATTTCTGGTTTTTATTGAGAAAATTTCAGCCTTTCCTAAGGAGCCCTAGACATTCTCTTATTCCTTCCTGTAATGTTTTCAAGGTGTCTGCTTTTACCTCAAGTTGCTTGATCCATTTGAAGTTCATTCTGGTGCAATGTGATATAGAAGGATCTAGCTTTACTTTTTCACAGGTGTTTAAGCAATTTTGCCAGCACCATTTACTGAAGAGGCTGTATTTCTTCCATTTTATTTTTTAAATTATTATTAATAAGTTTTTTTATTGCGAAAATACGGTAAAGAGGGGTTACAATTACATAAGCAAGGTAATAAGTACATTTCCTATCAAGCATTGTTGCCTTCTCCTTTGTTTTTCCCTTACCATCCCTGCCTCCCATCTCCACGACTACACTCCACCCCCCCACTCCTGCCCCCACCAAAGTTGTAAAGTTCAGTTTTCCACATAATGTCTGTAAGGTCCGCTCCTGGATGGTGAGCAGACTCCACCCTCCTCGCAGCAAAGTCTCCACCCAGTACCTGCGTTACCTAGGCAACTGGAACACCTGGAAGAGGTCACATCTGCATCCGCTGAGGTCACATCTGAATTTGATGTGGCCACACCTTTCTCCGCCCATACCCTACATAAGGCCTAGCCCAGGCCCAGACTCTCTCTTTTTTCTCGCTCTGTTCTTTTCTAGCTCTGGCTCTTCTTTTCTAGCTCTCTCTCTGCTCTAGCTCTTCCCTTTGTCTTTCCCAGCCACGTGGAGTGCCAACCTTGCCTGGTCCCAGCAGGTCTACTGGATAAACCTACCCCTTACCCGAATACCACGTGAGTGCTACTGTTCTTACCCCTCTCTCTGCTCTTTTCTAGCTCTTTCCTCTCTTTCCCAGCTCTCTCCTTCCCAGGCCTTTCCCAGCCACGTGGAGTGCCAACCTTGCCTGGTCCCAGCAGGTCTACTGAATAAACCTACCCCTTACCTGAATACCACGTGCGTGCTGGTGCAGTTCTTACTCGGCCACCTCTTTTTAAAAACCTAACATAAATGGTGCCGTGACTCGGATAAAGGCTTATAGTCAGGAAAGCTGGGATTTCTGTTTTTTTCCTCTTTTTTCTTTTTTTGTTCTTCCCTTTTTGCTCTGAGGAATACCCGCAGTTCTGACGGCCTTTTGCGAACCAGTCTGTCTGCGGCGGAATCAGCGCATCGATACCATTGCTGCCTTCACATCCACGTCCACACCACTTCTCTACTCTGGTGAGTGAAACTACTCTACGGCTCTCTGTTACTCAGTCTCTGTCCAGACGTGGCGCCACGCCAGAGAGCTCCTACGGCCTTTAGCTGAAAGGCCGGTCACCTCTGAAGCCGAGGACGCTTGGCTTTGGGGGCTTGGCCATTTCTCTCTAGAGGGCTCTGGGGGAAGTCGGGACGCCGCTTCTGCCTGGTCAGCTCTCCTTCACTCACCAGACTGACTCTACTCATTTAATGGGGTGCTACGAATCACGCCTGAGCCGTGAAACCCCTTTTAAATGTCTCCTGCGCTCCCTGGAAAGCCAGAGAGCCTCATTTTTATGCCATTCTCAGAAGTACAGTTTTTGCTACTGCAATGGTAAATGGTCAGAAGTTTGTTTAATTTCAGGCTCTCTTTGCTCTCTCTCTGCCATTCATGTGCAACTTTCTACACTTTTTTTCTACAACTTTTTGGCTTGTGCCTTGAAGAGTGCGACGCAGGCTGGGTCCCAGGGACCGCCCTCTAGGTTCCCTCTCAAAGGCTAGCCAATGTAGGCTTAATCTATTCAGGCTTTCTTTGCATTTTTTCAGAAATTCGCCATCTTGAATTCGCCATCTTGGCCACGTGGTGGGTTAAGGGTTTGGCCCCATCTGGCCCTTAACCTTCCACTAAGTTTACTACTCCATCTATTCTAAGGTGCCTTGCTAACAAGTTGCTCTTTTCACAGGCCCTGGTAACAGAGGCCCAACCAGCTGAAATGCTTTGTTAGCAAAGATGTCTAAACGTTGTCGAAATTTTAGGTTTTAAGTTTTGCCTTTTTTGTTTTGTGTTGTGTATTCTACTACTGACTATGTGGTTCTAAAATACTGGGTATATCTGTGCTAAAATTCTCATCACATCTAATGAGTTTCATCATTTCAGAATATTTGTTGGCAATTCTTGATAAGAACCAGGTAAGCTCTACTTATTCTACTTGATCTCCTTGTTGCCTTAATTGGAAATAATAAAGGGCTTTTGTGGCAAAGATTTCAGTTCAAAGCCAGCTTGGGCTAAAAAATCTCTAAGACTCCGTCTCCCAGCTGAACTCTGCAAGTGGTACTATAACTCAAAGTGGTTCAGTGCTAGCCTTGAGCAGAAGTGCTCAGGGACAGTGCCCAGGCCTTGAGTTCAAACCTCCTTTGACACTGGAAGTGCTATTGTAACTCAACATGGTAGAGCACTAGCCTTGAGCAGAAGTGCTCAGGGACAGTGCCCAGGCCTTGAGTTCAAACCTCCTTTGACACTGGAAGTGCTATTGTAACTCAACATGGTAGAGCACTAGCCTTGAGCAGAAGTGCTCAGGGACCGTGCCCAGGCCTTGAGTTCAAATCTTGAATACCAACTGGGACAAGCCATCCCTGCAACGAGCACCTAGACTCAAGCCAGTCTGGGGAACAAGGGAACGTGGAAAGGGGTAAGAGGAGATGTCACATCAGCTACTTTGTGCCTGCCCTTTCAAAATTAACCTGAGCCGGGAGGTCAGTAGAAGTAAGAAGCCTACCCAGCCAATGTCTAAGGTCAGTAGAAGTAAGAAGCCTGCCCATCTAATGTCTATACCTGTGTACCTATTAACTGAACAGGAATTTATATTCTTGCCTTTGTCCCCTGACTTCTCTACCTAGTCGCCAGATGTCAGAAGTATCTAGGGACATTTCTACCAACATTTTCAGCCCCAAGTCCTTCCTCTTGCCATTTATTTGCTGTTTAGTATTTTTTTTTCCAGCCCCTCAATGCTCATGAGACTTCTCCAGACTTCACCTAAGGACTCACGCCACCAAGGGACAGCTGCTGCTCACTGCCTTCTCTGGGAGGGGACCAAATTCCAGCCTTTTACCCCCATTGTCGACGCCCCTTGTCAGCAGGAAGTAGCCAGAGAGAATCCGCGCCCTATTTCATGATTATTAAAAGGCTGGAATGTAAGGTCCGCTCCTGGATGGTGAGCAGACTCCACCCTCCTCGCAGCAAAGTCTCCACCCAGTACCTGCGTTACCTAGGCAACTGGAACACCTGGAAGAGGTCACATCTGCATCCGCTGAGGTCACATCTGAATTTGATGTGGCCACACCTTTCTCCGCCCATACCCTACATAAGGCCTAGCCCAGGCCCAGACTCTCTCTTTTTTCTCGCTCTGTTCTTTTCTAGCTCTGGCTCTTCTTTTCTAGCTCTCTCTCTGCTCTAGCTCTTCCCTTTGTCTTTCCCAGCCACGTGGAGTGCCAACCTTGCCTGGTCCCAGCAGGTCTACTGGATAAACCTACCCCTTACCCGAATACCACGTGAGTGCTACTGTTCTTACCCCTCTCTCTGCTCTTTTCTAGCTCTTTCCTCTCTTTCCCAGCTCTCTCCTTCCCAGGCCTTTCCCAGCCACGTGGAGTGCCAACCTTGCCTGGTCCCAGCAGGTCTACTGAATAAACCTACCCCTTACCTGAATACCACGTGCGTGCTGGTGCAGTTCTTACTCGGCCACCTCTTTTTAAAAACCTAACAATGTCTTGTACATCTCATTGTTGCAATGGGTCCACCTGTATCTCCATTTAAAGCATTTGTTTTTCTCTTCCCCTCCCCAAATTGTACCAACATCAAATACAGTGAAATCAGGGGTAATAACGTGGGAGAGGGACATACAAAGCAACAACAACAACAAATCACCTTAGAAACAACAGCAAGGGAAAAAAAAAACCACTTGAGTCCGTATCTCGGGGTTCATTTCGCCTAACATCAAATTATCTGACCTTTTCTGCTTGTCTCAGACATATACTAGTTATTCCATTCTATTTTTTGCCTCCCTTATGGACGATTAGGTGGCTATAGGCCTTTGGGTTCATTTCTAGGTCTCCAGTTCTATTCCAATGGTCCTCAGGTTTGTTCTTGTGCCATTACCAAGCTGTTTTGATTACTATGGCTTTGAAGTAGAGTTTGAAATTTGGTATTGATATTCCTCCAGCACTGTTCTTTCTGTTAGGGATTTTTTTTTGCTATTCAGGGTCTTTTATTGTTCCATAGGAATTTTTGGATTGCTTCTTCTATTTCATTGAAGAATGAGTTGCAATATTGATAAGTATCATGTTAAATTTGTTGATAGCTTTTGGAAGTGTAGCCATTTTCACCACGTTTATCCTCCCAAACCAGGAGCATGGGAGGTTTTTCCACTTCCTAAGCTCTGCTTTAATTTCCTTTTTCAGGTTTTTAAAGTTTGCATCATAGATGTCCTTCACTTCTTTTTTTGGTGTTATTTCATATATTTTTAGTTTACATTTTTTAAACCAATGTAACAAAAAGGTAGGAGGGAGGGTAATGGTGTATTATGCCTGTAAATGGGAGAGAGAGGGACCCAGGCAAACACACACGCGTGCTCACACACACAAACACACACACACACACAAACACACACACACACACACACACACACACACACACACGGGTTTTTATGGGGACATTGAGTTTCAGTAGCAAAACGTGGTGGGAAGCAGGCCCAGAGCCGGAGGAGGGGTTATGGGGTTTATTCTGGGGAGGGATGGCGCTGACAATGCAGTTGTTATGTGACCTGTCTGGGAGGAGAGAGGAGGAGGGGGAAAGAGAGGGGAGGGATGAAGGAAGGGAGCAGAAAAAGAGTTTTCTAAGAAAGGAATCTAATGAGTGCATGGTGTGTCCAACTAGCACGAAGCAGAGGTTTAACATGGCTTCTTTCTCTTTAAAGCCTCCACCAGGTCATTCTTCAACGTTTCTTGTTTTGATTTGTCTGCAAATGTCTGCACAGACCTCAGCCCGTTGACAATATCCTTTGTTTTCCCAAAGTAGATCTCATTCAGTGTACTTCTGATTTTATTTTCCATGTCCTCTACCAGGTGCCCGATATTGGTTACGTGTGGGGAGCAGTCACTCACAGTTTCATCTTTCTCCATTTGTCTGGTGAGGCTGCCTCCGAGGTTCATCGTGCCCAAGCCGGATTTGTTGGTTTGCAGCCACAGCATCACCGTGGAGGTCAACTTGTAATGGGCAGTGCGGCCACTGGACTTCTCCTGTACCTCCACCACATGGATGGAATCCCAGCAGCCTTTGATCTTCTTTGATCCGTCTCCAGCCTTCTTTATGAGAATTACTCCAGCAAAGCCATGATCCAGATCCCAGGGGAAAACAGATGAGACGCCATCTTCAAAATACAGGTCTCGGTGCTGGTCAAAGGCATTGTTGGCTTCCACCTCCAGTTTTCTCAGCCTAGCAGACTGCATTGCTCCATCTTCCAGAGCGGGGTCATACTTGTTACTCCACGGTGACCTATAGCGAGTCCCCATCTCTGTTGTAGTCAAACAACAGGTAATCCTTTCCCACCACCTTGTCTCTGGCAATTTCAGTGGCTGGTCAACAGAAGACAGGAGATCTTCACATAGACTGGGGACTAGGTCAATCAGGTCAATGAGGTTTTTCTTGATTGGCTGTGGAGGCAGGCGCCTCATTAGGTCCAAGGCACAGTCCAGCTGCTGATTACTCATGGTGGCAGTGGCAGCGGCGGTCCCCCCGTCGGTGGTTCTCCTCTTCCACCCCCCAGCAGGGCCCAGCGCTTCCACTTCCCCAGGTGCCCAGGAATGAACATTAGTTCACTTCTTTAATTAAGTTAACTCCCAGGCATTTTATTTTTGTGGGGCTATTACCAATGGAGTTGCTTTCCTGATTTCAGCTGTGCTCTTCTCATTGTTGACATACAGAAAAGCCGTTGATTTTTGAGGGTTAATTTTATACCCTGCTATTTTGCCAAAGTTTTGAATCAGCTTGAGTAATTTGGGAGTGGAGTTGATGGGATTCTTAAAATACAAGATCATGTCATCTGCAAAGAGGGAGAGTTTTACTTCATCTTTCCCTATTTGGATCCCCTTTATGTTTGCATCTTGTCTTATTGCTGTAGCTAGACATTCTAATACTAAATTGAAGAGACATAGAGAGAGTGGACATCCTTATCTTGTTCCTGAGTTTAGAGTAAATGGCTTTAGCTTTTCACCATTAAGTATAATGCTGGCTGTAGGTTTGTAATTTACAACCTTTATTATATTAAGGAATTTTCCTTGGATTCTTAGTTTTTCTAGAGCCTTCAACATAAAGGGGTGTTGAATCTTGACAAATGTTTTTTCTACAACTATTGAGATAGTCTTGTGTTTCTATCCTTGCTCTTGTTGATTGGTGAATTATATTAATTGATTTGCATATATTGAACAAGCTTTGCATCCCTGAAATAAATCCTATTTGATCGTGTTGTACGATTTCTTTGATGAGTTGTTGAAATCGACTGGGCAAAATTTTGTTGAGAAGTTTGGATCCATGTTCATCAAAGAAATGGTTCTATAGTTCTCTTTCTTTGATGCGTTCCTACTTGGTTTTGGGATGAGGGTTAAGATGGATTCATAGAAAGAATTTGGTAGTGAACTTTCACTTTCAATTTCATTGAAGAGTTGAAGTATTGGTGTGAGTTCTTCTTTGAAGGCCTTGCAGAATTCTGCTGTAAATCTATTGGTCCTGGACTTTTCTTAGATGGGAGGCCTCTTATTGCTGTTTCTATTTCAATGCTTGATATGGGTCTGTTAATTTGGTGTAACTCATGTTTGTTTAGTTTTGGCATGTCAATATTGCTAGCAAATCATCCATTTCATCCAGATTCTCAAACTTATTAGCATCAAGGTTTGAGAAGTATTCCCTTATAATGTTCTGAACCTTGGTTGTTTCTGTCATGATGTTTCCATTTTTATCTCTGTTTTTGGTTATTTGGGTGTGTTCTCTTATTTTCCAGATAAGTTTTCCAAAGGTTCCATCAATTTTGTTAATTTTTTTGAAGAACACACTCTCTTTGTTTTGTTGATTCTTTCTATGTTTTTTTTTTTTTTTTGGATTCTAATTCATTTAATTCTGATTTAATTTTAATTATTTGCTTCCATTTACTGTATTGGGGTTTATCTTGCTGCTCTTTTTCAAGGAGGTTTATGTGTCTCATTAAATTGTTGGTTTCAGATCTCTCCAATTTGTTGATGTAATATCTCAGACCTATAAACTTGCCTCTGAGTACTGCCTTTGCTGTGTCCCAGAGGAGCTGGTAATTTGTGTTTTTATTTTTGTAGAATATCATGAACATTTTGATTCCTTTTCTTATCTCTTCCATGAACCCCTGGTGGTTCTACAGTATGTTGTTCAGCCTCCAAGTGTTACACAACTTTCTTTGGTGGCTTTTGATTTTGAGTTCTAATTTTATTCCCTTGTGGTCTGAGAGAATGCAGGGCATTATTTCAACGTTTCTGAATTTGGACAAATTTGCTTTGTGATCTAAAATGTGGTCTATTTTGAAGAATGTTCTATGTGCTATTGAGAAGAGTGTGTATTCTGATGTTGCTGGTGAAATATTTGGTAGATATCTGTTAACTTTCTTTGGTTTATGCAGTTGTTTAGAACTGTGGTTTCTCTGTTGAGTTTTTGCTCGGTAGATCTATCCAGTGAGGATAGTGGTTTGTTAAACTTCCCCAAAACTAATGTCTTTGGATCTATGTGAGATTTGATGGTAAGTAGTGTTTCTTGAGTAAATTAGGGTGCTCCGTTGTTTGAGGAATAGATATTTAGAATTGTAATATCCTCCTGAAGGAGAGATCCCTTAATTAGTATGTAGCAATCTTCTTTATCTCTTCTTGCTAATTTTAATTTGAAGTCTATTTCATCTGGTATTAGGATTGCAACTCCCGCCTGTTCATGGGGACTATTCACTTGGTAGATTTTATTCCAGACTTTCACTTTCAGAACATGTTTGTTTTTATAGGCAAAATGTGTCTCTTGAAGGCAGCAGATAGAAGAGTCATACTTTTTAATCCAACTAGACAGTCTATGTCACTTAATTGGAGAGTTAAGTCCATTGGTATTGAGAGTTAGGACTGAGAAGTGGTTGTTCCTGCCACTTTATCCACCTTCTTGGGAGCTATGAAAACTAGGTTCTTCCTCTGTTTCTTGGATTGTCCATTTGGGTGAGGTTTCTTGGTCTTCATTGTGCTCTTGTTGTTTTTTTATGTTTAGGACATTTTGAAGTATCTTTTTAGGGCTGGTTTGGTAAAGATATGTTACTTCAAATTTTCTTTGCTATGGAAGGTTTTTATTTGATCTTCCATTATGAAGGAGAGTTTAGGTGGGTACAGTATTCTTGGTTGATAGTTCTTTGTCTTTAGGGCCTGGCATACATCATTCAGGGCTCTTCTTGCTTTAATTGTCTCTGCTGAGAAATCTGAGGTTATTTTGATTGGATTCCCTTTATAGGTGATTGATCTTTTCTCCTTGAAACTTTTTTATCTGCACTATACATACCAAATCCGTTCCCAGATTAGGACTTTTGCCTCTTTCTGGTCTTAATAATCATCTTTTAAAAATTCATGACTTTTCTCTCATAGTAAAGAATTGTTAAATATGTATGAAAATTATTTTAGACCATAAGATATAGCCCATTTATATCAGTACATTTTACTAGTTTACTTAAACAATCTCAGAGCAACTTTAATCCCACTCCTATGACTCTGAAGAACTTTTTTCCCCTTAAAGAATTGGTGCCAACTTTCTTTTCAATATGAAATGATAAAAGACATTAATTTTACCACACTCCACTACCATGTCCTGCATGAATCTGCTGAACATAGGTATTTTGTGGCTGTTTTGCTGCTTTGTGACTTTGTGTGCAATTGTATTAAGAAGTGACAGAGAGGGTAAAATGCTTCTTCTGGTGACCACAGAGGAGAGAACAAGCTGCCATCTGTAAGTATCAATAGTATAGAAAGTAGAGTTGCTATAAAAGACTGCAATGTGGTGTGGCTATGAGACATATAAACTGATGATTTTGGAAAAAATACCACAAGAGGCTGTATGACAAAGACAGATGTTAAAAGTTTTCAGTAATAGTGTTCAGTGGAGAAACAATAAAATCAAAAGTGACATTATGTAGAGTGTAATCTAAATAACTTTCAATAAATAAATATAGATATGTATACAGCTAAAGAGTGATGGATAGATATCAAGTGTGTGTGTGTGTGTGTGTGTGTGTGTGTGTGTGTGTGTGTATACACATGCACAAATTGGTCTTGGGGATTGAACTCAACACCTGAGTTCTGTCCTTGAGTTTTTTGTTCAAGGCTAGCACTTGAGTTGTAGATACATTTCTGCTTTTCTGTGGTTAACCTGATAAGAGTGTCACTTGGACTTTCATGCCAAGGTTGGCTTCAAATATTGATCTCAGGTTTTAGTCTTGTGACTGGCTAGGATGACAAGTATGATCTAGTGCCCAGTTTGGTATATATTAATTGTAAAAAGTTTTCATTATGGTTTTCATTATGATATTTTCATATATGTATACTTTGATCAGATTCATCCCTTTTATTACTCTTTATTATTATTATCCACCTCTTCCAATCTCTCTCTCTTACAATTTTGCTTGTGTGTGTTTGTGTGTGTGTGTGCTCATCTTGGGGCTTGAACTCAGGGCCTGGGTGCTGTCCCTCAGACTTCTTTGCCCAAGGCTAGCTCGCTACCATTTGAGCCATAGCTCCACTTCCAGCTTTTTTGTGGCTAATTGGAGATGAAAAGTCTCATGAACAGGCTTCCAAGCCCAGACTGACTTCAAATTGCAGTCCTCTGCTTTCAGCCTCCTGAGTAGCTAGGAATACAGCCATGATCCACTGGTTCTTAGCTTCTCACAAAATTTTTGATGTGTTTCATAACGAGCTTTTCATACAAGCATATAATATAATTTGGTCAGATTTACCCCTCAGCTTCTCTTTTCCATCCTTCTACATCTAATTTCACATGATATTGCTCACTCAAAACCAGTGTTATGTGTACCTACCAAATGAAGACATTTGGAACTAAAAAGCCAGCATCCGAGTTACTTGACAGAGGTGAGTAAATGAAGTGCATGTTATTATGCAGCTGAGAAATATATTCCAGTATCCCAAGTTCATTTTAAGAATATTTGAGAGAAAGTATCCTGTAAAACTTGTTCTTTCAGGGGGTGAGGAACTTTCTTTAACTCCCATTTGGAAATATTTGGCATTTCATTGCCCTCATAAGACACTCTACCTTGTAACTCACAATTTTATTCAATTTTACTCCAAACAGATAAGAATGTTGTTACTTTACACTGGCATAGATTTTCTTTCTTTCTTTCTTTTTTTTTTTTTTTTGATCGGTCATGGGGCCTGAACTCTGGGCCTGAGCATTGTCTCTCAGCTCTTCAGCTCAAGGCGAGTGCTCTACCACTTGAGTTGCAGCGCCACTTCCAGTTTTCTAGTGGTTTATTGGAGACAAGAGTCTCATGGACTTTCATTGCCTGGACTGGCTTTGAGCCATGATCTTCAGATCTCAGCCTCCTGAGCAGATAGGATTACAGGTATGAGCCACTGGCACCCGGCTGGCATAGAATTTCTAAAACCCTCACATAAACAGAAATCTTATGCTTCTATCAAATGTGCAGCATCATTGTGGTTACCTTGAAAATGTGTATATTTGAAGCTTAAATTTTTTTTAAACCAAGTGCCTGTGGCTCACTCCTATAA